CCGGGCCGGCCCGGGGGCGCCCTGCTCCGGGGCGCCGCTTGGGAGCGCGGCGGCGCTCCCGCCGAGGGTTCGGATCCCACATACAGACCGGTTGCCGCTCACTGGCTGGGCGAGGTGCGGGCGCGACACCGAGGGTTGTGATCCTGTTGCCGGTCCGGTCCGGTACGGGCGCGACACTGAGGGTTGTGATCCGTTGCCGGACACGAAAAAAGACAAAAAGGAAAAAAAAAAACAAAAAAACAAAACCCATGTTTGAATTCAAGCTATATTACTTAGTTCTTGCAGCTGTGCGAACTTAAAAGTACATTTTTAATCTTGCTCAGTCTTAGCTTCCACATCTAGAAAATGTGGGTGATGATATCTATCTTGCGATGAGGATTAAAGGAATCATATATGTTAAATACCAAAGCACAGAGTCTGGCATACAGTATAAATGCACACACACACAGAGGCAATGACATTTCTCGAATGTAGATCAACAGTATTAATGTCAGACATTCTATATTTCTTCAGAATTCAGTTTTCTCGCTAAAGCTACAGATCAGAAAAGTTGGATTACCAGAAACATATACATATTTATACATATATAACGTCTTATGTCCATCCCACCAGTACCAATACATTATGATAACCTATCTTAAAAAATGCTGAGGTACAACATTCATATTTTATTTTGTTAATGCATAAGAAAGTAACTTTGTTGTTCAGATTCATTATCTGAAATGAAGACAAATTGAGCATTCCCTGACTCCCTAATTTGGCACTTTGAGAAATTTCCTCTACACACCAAGTCCCCAAATGTACTCTTTTCTAGATCAAAAAAGGAAACATGCAATATATACAAGTGACAACACACGATGGTAATTTCGGTGAAAAATAATCCCCCCCACCAATAAGCAGCATGTCATGTCCTTAGAATATGTCACACTAGAAAGCTAGTAAAAATTCAAGCTAAGTAGGCAATTTAGAGTTTCAAGTTTTATCACATATGGGCCAAGTTCTAGAATACTTCCCTTAAAAAGGGACACTTTCAAAATGAAATCTCGTCAAAAGGTTTGATTTTGAATTATATGTGTATATATGAACTTCTCTGTTCTAACATTCAACATATTCAGGATTAATTCTAGAAAGCTGCTGTAGCTTATTTATAGAACAAAAATGATCTAGGCTCAGAAAGAGAAAATAGGGGCAAACAATTTTAAATAGTATCTCCCTATCTAACCCCGTCCATAGCATCACAAAGTTTTTGGCTTTCTGTTTTTCAACTAATGCCATAATTGAAATATATATTAAGTTAAATTTGTTATAAAGGCAGGAATTAAGAAAAAGTCATTTTTTGATGGCTTTAATTTAAGCAATTGAATGCTTTAGAACCTTCCTGAAAATGCTAGTTAACAGATACTATTCTTTTAGATGTTGCTTTAATTTGAAGCTTGGTGAAATCTAGATCCTTTATTAAACAGTCCCCTGCTAATTTTGGTAAGAGTACAATTTGAAGCCTGCAACAACTATTCTATGGACTCCTAAGAAGGGGGTTTTAGTAGGTTGCTGTTTTGGCCAGAGAAACATTTCAACAACTTTTTGCAATCTAAAATAAAAAACAACGAATGAAAACTACAAATAGAAATCTAGTAAGGCAATTCTATCATGTAGGAAAACTCTGTTTCCTAAACGTTTTCTACATTGATTTTTTTTTTTTTTTTAAAAGATGTGTTACCCGGTTCTTCCACAGTCAGTGTATGAAACTCAACTGAAGATGTGTACATATGGCAAAAAGATTCGTATATCCACAGCCGTCCATTTGCATGGAAGTCTTGTCACTGAATTACTTTGTGTGCTTCTGGTTGTGATCACTACAGGCCACCAGAGTGCTGGGAGGCCTGGCTGCTCAGCACTCTAACTCTTCCATAACCTCCATGACAATCGTGCGAGGGCCCGTCAGAATCAGGTTGCTCACAGTCCGGTAGTCTACGTGCAGCACGTTGAGCCCATTGACAGAGACGACGAACTGACAGACCTAAAGGAGAGATGGAAAGAAAGAATGTCTGTCATAGCTCCTGATTTTTTGCAGACCTTTAATAAAAATAGTGTGCAGCCCTAAAAGAAAACTTCATTCTTACAGTAAGTATCCAAATGTACCCTGCTGACAACTCCAATTCAATAATCTCCAAGGAGCTACACTTGGTCTGGAAGGCAGTATAAATGGGAAAAGCACTTGTTTTAGTGTTTTACAAAATTAGGCTTAAATCCTAACTCAGAAACTTACTAGCTCAAGCTAGATATTTAATCTTAGCTTTATTTCCCTCAACTCTAAAATAGGGATGATTAAAAATAATTCTAATATTACTACTACTAATAGTCTACCAACAACCTTATAAACTTGTTGTAAGAATTAAATGAGGTAAAGTACATAAAGCTTCTCTTACAGTGCTCTGAACCTATGAGGTACTCAATACATTCTTAGAGTCACAGTGTTTACAGCTATTATTCATATGGACTCAATATATTGGGAGACCTGATAGCCCAGTGTTCCCTGGACAGGCCTCTTTTACCAACTGTTCCTGCATTATTACTAATAGTGTCTCCTTTCACTTATTGAAGTGTCCCAGTTGATATGATAAATGACACACATTTCCCCATTTCCCACCATTATGAAAATGAATGAGGCCAACAAAAGCTAGCTTTTAGACTGCGCGTTGGTCACCCTGCGGTAGGAGAGAGAATTACAATACACTGAAGGGCATCATTCCGTTGTGAGTGGCCACTCAGAATACGTCACAGTGAGCTTGATACTGACTCACAGCTACGGCCCCAGATGGAGGTATTTCTCTTGAGGTTGGTGTTTGCATCAGAGGATGGCACAAACTAACAGATGGTTTATCTGTTGTGTGCCTTAAGAGGTGGAAATTGGACATGAGTGATTTGTTTATGTCACTCATATAGAAAAATGGAGAGACACACAGATCTCCAGGTGTCAGTGATAAGTACATCTTATTAGCAAAACATAACAAAACAGAACGTAAGTATGTATGGTGACTGGCACATAGTGGGTACTTGTGGTAAGCAAAATAATTCCCTCAATCCCCAAAGATGTCCATGTCCTAATCCCTGAGACCCCTGAATATGTTAGCTTACATGGCAAGGGGACATTGAAGTTGCAGATGGAATTACGTTGCTAATTAACTGACTTGAACACTGGGAGATTATTCTGGATTACCCTGGGCCCAAAGTATAAGGACTTTGTAAGAGTCCTTCTAAGGAGGTAAGAAGGTCAACGGCAGAAGTAGGAGATTTGACAACAGAAGATGTTAGAGTGATTCAAGGAAGAGACTAGAAGCCAAGGAATGCAGGCGGCCATCAGAAACTGAAAAAGGTAAGGAAACAGAAAACAGTCTCCCCTAAGAACCTCCAGAAGGAGTGCAGACCTACTAAACCTCGATATTAGATTTCTGGCCTCCAGAACTCTTTAAGAAATGTGTACTGTTTTAAGCTACTAAGTTTGCATTAATTTGTTACAGCAGCAGTAGGAAACTAACGTACTCAATAAATAGTCAGTATTGAATGAATTGAATGAATGAATGTACAAGCAAAAAAGCACAATTAGGATTGAGCCTGAAGGCTTTTTTGCTCCTTATATACTATCTCTTCTCTTACTGGGAGAATAGGAAAATAAAAAGGAAGAATTACAAAACAACAAGCAGGAAGAAGGGAGAGAAGTGGGGGAGAGGGGAAGGGAAGGAGTCAAATTGTTTGGTTTGATGGGTTAATTTAGTGATGTCTCCCATACCTGTTGTTCTCATCTTCATACTTGAAATACAATGTCTGAGTAATTAATGTGCATACCTGGTCCCAATAATTAATTAATTTAGCAGTGAACACTCAATCAAACCAAAATTGTAAAGTATAAAGACAGCTCTGTATCTGTAGAAAAGACATGTGATTTGGAATCAAAGACACAGATTTAAGTCCTAGCCTCCTTTGCTGGATGATTTTAATCAAGTCATTTCTCCTCTTCTATATGTCAATGACATAAATGTGTCTCATTTATAAAAGAGTTAGGTAAAAATGCCTATCCTCACAGGTTCAAATTAGATAATGCATTTAAAACCTCTGTAAATACAAGTACTACACCAATGCTGGGTTCTATTAATTTCTTCCCTTTAAAAATACCCACTTCCTTTATGGTTACATGCAAAACAAAATGGAAAATGGACGGTAGTAAGAAGAGTGGTTATTTACTCAATAAACACTTGCTGTTGTCATAAACCTCAATATTTTCCACTCCCCAACCTACATTCCTAGGGTGTTTTCTCTACACAAGTTGAGCATGTAATCACTGTTTCTCCTCTCCATAGAGACAGAAAGATTTTTGGTTGCCTAGGACTGGGAGTGGAGGTGGGGGTGAGGTGGGGTACGGGAGTGATTGGTAACAGATACGGAGTTCTTTTAGCGGTGATGAGAATGTTCTAAAATTGATTGTGGTGATGGTTGCATTGCTCTGTGAATATACTAAAAATCACTGCATTATACACTTTATATGGGTGGAATTGTATGGTATGTGAACTATATCTCAAGAAAACTTTTAGTAAAAAACAAAAGAAAACAAAACAAACTGAAGGGAAGAGAGGTCTGATGCCAACAGTGGGTGGATCCTTGTAGACTGGAGAGAGAGGTCATGGGTTTGGTTCAAAGATGGGGTTTTGTGTACCTCTTGATGGCGAGGCTCTTGGAGGCCATAGAACCTTGAGTTGTAAAGGCTGTGTGCTTGGGAGGATGAGTGATCTGTGACCTCTGCTCAGGACCTTTGCCAGGTGTCCAGGGGTGGGAAGGGGGCAGCCATCAGGGCAAGAAACAGTGGCGCCAGTACTAACACTGGTTAAGGTCCATTTTAGGGACCACCTATAAGCCCTGGGATGTGAGCTGGCGTGGGGCATGTATGATCTCAAAGGTGAAGGGCACCGGCAAGGGGTGCCAAAATGATCTGATATTGGACTTGTCATCAGTCATGATGAGTAGTGATTTGAAGTGAATTTAATTTTAGAAAAATAAAAAAAGAAGGCCATTTCTTGATTTTGGTTTGTATGTGGGTACACACACTCACAAATACTTCTCAAGTACCAAAGTTTGAGACTGATTTACTCTTTCATAAAGTATGGCGAAGTCAAAGCTACACTAGCCATAAAGACAACCTCACTCCCTTGCATTCCCCAGGTGCTGTCTGCAGTAGCAGAGGACAAGAGGGGTGTCAGAGCAAGTGTCCTGTGAATCGCTCATATCCCACGATCCTTCTTGCCTGTGCCATCACCCGAGCAGGCCTCGGCGAGCACAAACAGCAAATGAAGCCCCTTTATCACAGGTGTTATGGGGGAAAAGGCTATGACATCTTGCACCAACTACTAAGTGGAGAACTAAAATAAGGCTTTAAATAGCACAGTCTGTGCCTTCATAAAGCTTACAATTCATTTAAGAGGCAGAGTATAACAGGCAGGATCCTTTTCAAAACAGCAGGCAACTTCTCAATAAATTCTGTCACTTATTAAAAACCTATTCTTTTCCAAGCACCAATCCAGGTACTTTACATGCATAATCAAAAATCCTGAATAGGCATTTCTCAAAGGAAGATATATTAATGGTCAAGAGACACATGAAAAAATGCTCAATATCATTCAGCATCCAGGAAATGCAAATCAAAACCACTCTGAGCTACCATCTCACTCCAGTCAGGATGGCTAATATCCAAAGACTGAGAATGATAAATGCTGGAGGGGTTGTGGAGAAAAAGGGACTCTCATACACTGTTGGTGGGACTGCAAAATGGTGCAGCCTATATGGAAAATGGTATGGAGGTTCCTCAAACAATTACAGATAGATGTACCCTATGACGCAGCTATCCCACTGCTGGGAATATACCCAGAGGAATGGAAATCATATTGCTGAAGGGATACCTGTTATCCCATGTTTATTGCAGCACTATTTACCATAGCCAGGAGTTGGAACAGCCCAAATGTCCATCATCAGGTGAGTGGATAAGGAAAATGTGGTATATCTACATGATGGAATTCTACTCTGCTATAAAAAAGAATGAAATACTACCATTCACAACATTGATAGACTTGGAGAAAATTATATTAAGTGAAACAAGTCAGGCACAGAAAGAGAAATACCACGTGTTCTCACTTATTTGTGGGAGCTAAGAATATATAAATAAACACACAAACAAATAAAGGGGGGGAAAGAAGACACAATTCCTTGAATTTGTGAAGACAAGTGAACAGATGTGGTGTGGGGGGGAGGGGAGAGAGGAAAGGGGAAAAGTTAAAAAAAAAAGGCATTAAAAAAAAAAAAATCCAGGGCCAGCCCGGTGGCGCACTGCTACAGTGCGCCGCTTAGGAGCGCGGTGGCGCTCCCGCCGAGGGTTCGGATCCCACATACAGACCGGTTCCTGCTCACTGGCTGAGCAAGGGGCGGGCACAGCACCGAGGGTTGCGATCCCGTTGCCGGTCCCGGTCCGGTACGGGCGCGACACTGAGGGTTGTGGTCCGTTGCCAGACACGAAAAAAGACAAAAAGGAAAAAAAAAAAATCCTCCTAACAGCCATGTGGTAACATCTATTGGGTTTTGGCAATCCAGCTGCCCTTCTGCTAAAATCAACTTGATATCCTTTTCAGATATCACCTTTGCTCTGCTGTGGGTGATATGGACAGGAATGCCAACCAAGGTGCCCTCCTCTCCCCCCATTCATGGGCACCACTGAATCTGGAGCTAACACAGGAGAGAACGTTCCTTTGCTCTTGTACTTAGGTCTCCAGATCTGCCCTAGTTTCTGTCCTTTTTGGTTCTCTAGACCTGCCTTTGATTCTCTTACATACTTTATATCCTTTCAATCGATTTCTTTTTTTTTCTCTTATGATAGTGGGTTACTGTCATTGGCAACCCATGATTCCCAGTTCAATCCTTATGAACATGCTGAATGTCAGAGAGGTTAAATTATTTGCTCTAGGTCACATAACTAAGTGC